AAGTCAAACAATTTGGGGAGGAAAGTACGAAATGTGCTGGTGTGCCCTCCCCCAACCCATTTAGATTACCACCCCAGTACTTGTAATTACAGGACAATAACCTCTCAGCCTTAAGTGTTTCCGATAACTAGAAGGGAAACCACTTGGTTCAGCCTTGTAGCCACAAAAGGGCTGGACGCCTGTGGACACTAACTCCTGATGAGGTCACACACATGGTCACTGAGACACTGGCAGGGTGCACGAAGGTGTTCAACCACAAATTTCAATCTGGAGCCATCCTGGATCTGCTCGCCTGTAGGCACCACAACCTGATGTCTGTGTTAAAATCTTGGAAATGTCTTGTGAACAGCACAGACTGCTTTGCATTTTTATGTGTTGACCACATTGATTTATCATATGTAAATACCTTAATTTACTACCATTTTCTTCATTAAAAAACAAACAAAAAGCAAGAGTCTCAAAAGACCCTGGAAGCATCCAGGGCCTTGCTCTCCAGGGCCTCTCAATAAGGAAGCAAGATCCCCTCCCTGCTGGACCCACTGAGATCCTGAGTCAGACCTCCAGGGCTGCCTGGAACAGGTGTGCACCTTCTGGCCCCTGACTGCCTTTCAGGGATCCTCCCCTCACCTCCCGCCCCTAGTTGTCATGGGAGGACCTCAGTCTTGGCATCACTGGAAGCACCTCTGAGCTGTCACATAACTGTGCCAAATCTGCCTCAAGGGCTTAGGCAAGCACAGGACAGGCAGGTGGGTGCTAAAGCAAGTAATGTCTTCCAACACGAATAAATCAGCTCTAGGTATGAGTCAGTAGTGACTTCAACAGTGGTCCAGATTTCCAGAAATTCTCATTCCAGGAATCCTAGGTAGGGTCCCCCAACATTACTACCACCCAGGTAACAATAGTGTGAGAAACTCTTAGTCCCTGGAAACATCTGCCCCCCAGCAGACAGCAGCTGGATGTCTCACACATCAGGCAGCGGGACACCTGGTGCAAGGCTGGCCATCTCAGCGCCTGCCGTGGCTGGATTTATCACATGCCCACATCACCATCTATTGTGCTCTGGGAATGGGGCTTTCCACTGATGTGCTCATGCACTAGGCTTGCAGGGATTTGGAAAGCAGGAGAGACTTTCATCTTCCCCAGCAAGGAGACATATCCTCCTAGAATGGGCCCAGCCTTTTTCTTGTGAGTAGAGGCTCTGAGCCTCTTAAGCTACCTCCTCATTCTCATCCTGCCAGGGCCCCGCTCCATCCTCAGTGGCTCACTCACAGGAGGGGCCCCCAAGCCCCAGATGCACCTATGAAAAGCACAAAAGGCAGGCACTAACGTCCAGGGAGGGGCTGCTCCATACACTGCCCAAGGGCCAGAAACAGGCAGAGCAGGGCTAAGATGCCTGCCCAGTCAGGTCTCTGAGGTTCAGGCAAAGGAGGGAGACAATGGCAGAAGAAAGCACAGACCCACTGCTAGCTCATAAGATGTTTTTGCACACATTTGGAAAGGTGCCTTTGGGCAGATGTAGCCCATGTCAGGATGTACAGCGTGGTGGGTAGAGAGGCTAGATTTTAGCCCTCACCTGCCCCCTCCACCAGGTGTCCTTGTACAGCAAACCTCTGGAACAACTGTTAAGTAACAGCCCCAGAGAAAGCAGCAGGAGGAGACAGAAGAAAAAGGCCACATGGCCATTCAAGGCACAGCACAACTGTCCCTTACCCTCTTCCCACTGGGTCCACACAGAAGCCCCATTTAGACCAGCCCCCATGTCACCACTATGGTCATCCCCAACCCTCCTTCTGTCCAGATTGTCTGTCCACATCCCATCCATTCTTCAGGGTCTTTGCAGCATTCTTCTGCCAAGAAGCCTTACCTTTGGGAGGTACGCAATGCTCTTTAGATCTGCTCCTTAATGGGTCCTTAACACGTCTCTGGGCCAGTGGCTGGTCACCTTTCTATAGCCACAGCTCCCCTCCTTCAAGACCACAGGCCTGCCTGACGCCCCACCGAGCATCTGGCACAGGCAACATGCAGCAGGGCACTCAGTGTGCGTGTTGATTGAGTGTGATGGAGGAACATGATGGAGTAGGGGCTGAAAGGACTCCTCAGTCTGGTCCTAGCTTGACCCAGTGACCCCTGGGGTAACCTGGAAAAAAGACCCCCCCATGCCCCACCTCAGTTCCCATGTGTGAGCTGCAGTGGATGGATGAACAATCTCGAAGTGTTCTGCTGGCACTGCACCTTAGCTTATAAGACTCAGAGCCCATGGCCGCCATCGGCCAGGTTCACCATCCCTGTCACCCGTGTCCACTGCAGTGCCTGGACCACAGCAGGCAATCAACACGGTCTATGGGCTGCCTCGAAATAAAGCAAGAATAAGTCTCTATGCTTTGGCAACCTGAGTTTTATTTGCAGAACCGCAGACACTAACCTTGGCCAGCTCAAGCAGAACATCCACACCAGGAAAAGGCCTGCTGTGGGAGTTCTCATGCAAATAGCAGCAGGACTGGAGAACTGGGCCCAGAAAACAGGCAGAGGGAGACCAGAACCATAGCTGGGGGCAGGGCCAGGGAAGAGTTTAGCCAGGATGTCCACTGGCTCCTGGCCAGCCCACCCCCCCCCGCCACTGGCTCTTCCAGACTGTTGCCATGACACAAGTGACCTCTGAGCCTAAATTCCAAGTGGGGCATCTGATTGACTGTACTTAAAATCACAGGGCCACAGCCTAATTGTTAGGAACGTGGAGGGGGTTCTTATGCATTCAAATTCCTCAATAGGAAGGTTCTCTGGGCACGAGGCAGCCAAAACACTGCCAAATACCTTTTCTATTGACCCTAGCTAAACCAATTTTCTCCTCCAGGAATTTGAAAAAGAGGTTGTAGTGGGTTGAATAGTGGTCCCTCAAAAGATATATCCATCGGGAACCTCAGCGTGTGACCTTATTTGGAATAAGGGTCTTTGCAGGTGGAACTAAGGTAAGGATCTCAAGATCATCCTGGATTGTCCAGCCCTAAATCCAATTGCAAGTGTCCTTACAAGAGACAGGGAAGGCAAAAGAAAGGGGGCAGACACTGAAGTGTTGTGGCTATAAACCAACAAACGGCAAGGGCTGCCAGGAGCCACCAGAAGCTAGGAAAGAGGCATGGGATGGATTGTCTACAAAAAGGAGCCAACCCTGCTGACACCTTGACTGCAGACTTCTGGACTCCTGAACCAACAGAGAGTAAACTTTTGTTATTTAAGCCACCCCGTTTGTGGAATTCTGTTATGACAGCCCAAAGAAACAAATACAGGTCCCTGAGGTGTCAAAGGCCCAGCTGGAAGGAGTGCACTGGGGCCAGGGGGAAGCTGACACAGGGAGAAACAGGCCTGAGGCAGAGAGAGGACCCCAGCTCCTGCTGGCTCACACAAGTCCCCAAAGCCCTTGCGTTCCTGAGGTGCCCCAGTATCCATCCAACAATCGCCCGTTCTTGCATACACTGGTTGAAGCCACTTTCTGTGACTTTTAAAATCGCAAGCCCTTATTATATCTGTCTCCGCCCTTTCCCATAGGTCAGGGGTGCATGGGGGGGGGTAGCAGGGGAAAGGAGCAGGCTCAGTAGAGTCACCTGAGCCACAAGACAAGTGCTGGTCAGTCAGGTAGGCGGGCACTGCCTCTAGACCACGCTGCCACAAAGCAGCAGGTGCCCAGGTGGCCCTGAGGGCGGTGGGCCTGAAGCCACCACGCTGATATCAGGAGAAAGGGGCCGGAACTTCGCTGAAAGAGGCTCACTTTGTTTGTAATACCCACCCCACTGTCCCGTCCTGTTCCCTTAATGACTGTTCCCCAAAGTATGAAGGTGGGGGATGTCTGGGCCAATATTGCTTCAGGGCGGGGGCTGGCGACGAGAGAAAAGTGACTCTGGACATGCAGAATGAGGACCTGCTGGAGTAGGCCAGTTTATGACAAAGGCAAGAAGGAGGTTGGGGGAGGGGTTCCACTATATGCCCACCGCCCATGGGCCAGCTCTCTCCGCAGCCAGGAAAGACAGGTCCCCTAGCCGCACTCCCGCCCAGGGCGGGTTGCAGCGCGTTCCAGAGGCTGCTCCAAGAGACTCGGGGCAAAGGAGTCCTCAGAGGACAGGACAGGGGAGGATAAGGTCTCAGGGATGCTTGAGGGAAGGGGGTTCTTACACTTCTGATACCTGAAGAGTCGGGGTGGAAGGTGTAGGGAGAGGAAAGAAGGGAAGGGGGAGGCCAAGATTCAACCCAACCTGGGAAACCGCCTGATCCTTTTTTCCACACTCTTCTCCTTCTCCCACAGGTGAAAGTCAACATATTCTTTCCTCTGCTTCTTCATCAACCTGGGCGGAGCAGGGGCGCCCAGGCCGGCCCTGTGCGCTGTGGCTCTCGCACGCGGGGCCACTCTCCTGTCTATCTGAATATGCTTCCCCCAGCCCGATCTGAGGGCGCTGCCAAGCAACCATTTATCGGGTGCTCTGTTCCAAAGCACCCTGCCGAGGGTCCCAGGAACATCCTCACCCTCCACGGGGTAGACGTGTGTCCCACTTTATAGATGGGGAAAGTGAGGCTCAGAGAGGTTAAATCAGTTGCCCAAAGTCCCGCGGCCGCTCAGCAGCTGGAGAGCGGCTGCGGGTTTCTGCGCCTCACTGCGCGGCTCGCAGGTCCCGCTCGTGCCCCGCCTGCCCATCCCGCCCGGCGAGGGGCGCGGCCGGCCGGAGGAGCGTGCCTTTGCCGCTAATCGCCGCCGCCCCCGCCTGGTCTCCCCGCGGCCGCCCGACGCCGCCGATTGGCCCGCGGTAATTACGGGCACACTCCGGGAGGGGGAGGGACGAGGGCGGCCTCCCGCGAGCATAAATTATGCAAATGCCCCGGCGCCGCACGGGGCTGACCTGCCGCCTCGCTCCATTCACCCGGGCTGCCGCGGGGGCGGAGGTGGCGAGGGAGGGGGGCACCCATTGTTGCGCCGGGTACTTAAGGGGTCCTGAGGCCGGTCGTGTGCCACACTCGGTGCTCACACGAGCTGATCTCATCGCAGGCGACATCACTCGGGAGACCGGCCGGGCGCGTGGCCCGCGCAGGCGAGGCGAGGAGGCGAGGCCAAGTTCCCCGTGCGCTCCTGAGCCCTCCCAGGCCCTCGCGCCCGCAGCCGGCACCGAGTAACTCCGGGCCGTGACCGTAAGTGCGCCCTGGTGGCCCTGCCCTGTCGGCACAGGCTCCTGCCCTCCAAGCGCCTCCCCGTCCGTCCCTCGGTCCTGCGCAGCGCCACGATGCCCGCCCCGCTGGAGACCACCTGCCTCTCAGACCTCGACTGTGCCAGCAGCAGCAGCGACCTGCCGGGTTTCCTCACCGACGAGGAAGACTGTGCCAGGCTCCCGCCGCCCGCCTCCGCCTCGGGGTCGCCTGCGCCGGCCCGCAGGGGAGCACCCGGGAACTCGGGGGCCCCGGACGTTGCGGGGGCGCAGGACAACGAGCAGGAGCGGCGGCGGCGCCGGGGCCGCGCGCGGGTGCGCTCCGAGGCGCTGCTGCACTCGCTGCGCAGGAGCAGGCGCGTCAAGGCCAACGACCGCGAGCGCAACCGCATGCACAACCTGAACGCGGCGCTGGACGCCCTGCGCAGCGTGCTGCCCTCGTTCCCCGACGACACCAAGCTCACCAAGATCGAGACGCTGCGCTTCGCCTACAACTACATCTGGGCCCTAGCCGAGACCCTGCGCCTGGCGGATCAAGGGCTGCCCGGGGGCGCCGCCCGGGAGCGCCTCCTGCCGCCGCAGTGCACGCCCTGCCTGCCCGGGCCCCCGAGCCCCACCAGCGACGCGGAGTCCTGGGGCTCCGGGGCCGCCGCCTCCCCCTGCGCCGCGGCCGCCTCGCCGCTCTCTGACCCCAGTAGCCCCGCCACCTCCGAAGACTTCGCCTATGGCCCCGGCGACCCCCTTTTCTCCTTTCCAGGCCTGCCCAAAGACTTGCTCCACACGACGCCCTGTTTCATCCCTTTCCACTAGAGCCTTTGCGGGTACCTTTACCTTCCGCCTCCCTCGCCCAACAGGCAATAGATGCGGCCCCCACTCGGGGCGGAGGGAGGAAGGGGAGCTGTAAAGAGGTGGGGGATACCTGAGCAGCCAGCCAGGTCCCGCACCCTCCTGCGCTGCCTCCCGGTCTGTTTCTCCAGCCCGCGGCCCGCCCGGGCCCCTCCCGCCAGCCCGCCCCTAGCCGGCCTTTCCTTTTGCACTTTCTGAACTCCACAAAACCTCCTTTGTGGCTGGCTCAGAACTCACCCCAGCCACCACTTCAGTGTGATTTAGAAAAGGGACAGGTCAGCCCCTGAAGACGAGGTGAAAAGTCAATTTTACAATTTGTAGAACTCTAATGAAGAAAAACGAGCATGAAAATTCGGTTTGAGCCGGCTGACAATACAATGAAAAGGCTTAAAAAGGAGAGACAAGGGCGGGCTTCATGCATTATGGATCCCGCCCCCCACCACTGCGGGGCTGCTCTAGGACGAGCCCAGACTCTCGCTTAGCTATTCAGGCACTGGGCTGGAGAGGGCTTTAATTTATTCAAGACGCTTCATTCATATGAAAATGTATTTTTGTACATAAAGAGTTTATTCTATTATTATGAGCTATCGAAGTTTACATTTTTGTACTGCAGATGCTTCGTGTAAATAAAAACCACGTAAAACAAGAAGTCACTAAGTTTCTTGCCTAACGTTAGTGTCTCTGGGGCTTTTCTTGCCTTCCCCGGTGGCTGCACCACTACAGTGAAACACCATCCCCACCCACCTCCAAACCCTCCCTCCAGTCCTGTTTCAGAAACAATTAAAACAAAAAATAATAAGACGCACCTGATTTCCACCAAGAAATGGATAAAGACAGACTAGGGCATGTGGGATCCAAATCATTTCCTTTCACCTTGTAAACACAAGGGAGATCTTTCAGGCTCCCCATAAGCCAATTAAGACTTTTTAGTGGGGGAATTAGCCCTGGGTCCACAGCTACCTGTAGAGGTAGGGGCGGTGGGAGGGTCTTTCTTTTGAGGAACTCCGCATCAGCTGGCTCTGTGTTTCAAAGACAGAGGGGATTAAAGAGATCAATACAGTGTGGCCACCGGTTAGGAAGTCCCAGCGACAGGTGGGCCAAGGCTAGCCAGCAGAAGGGTCCACTCTTGTAACAGCCTATTTAGAGGGGGAAATTGATTTGTAAACAATGCCTCCGAATTGTTGTCCATTGAGTCTGGGTTCGCCCTGACTGTGAGGTGCGGGATGCATTATGTCGGCCTGGTCCTGAGTGGGGCTGCAGCTGCCCAGGCTGTGAGCTGGGGTGTCTGCACCCCCCAACACACACACACACATCCACCGGGGTGACCCACAGCGAGGGGGGCATGCAGAGGGAGGGCTCGGGTGCTGGGCTGGCTGGGCCAGTCCTCAGGGGCAGTAGCCACAGCTTTCATTTACTGCCAGAAACATCAGCCGTCCAACCTCAGTGGGGATTTTTCTGGCTGCAGTGCGTCTCTCTGTTGTCTGACAATTAGCTAACAGCACTGCCAGGAGCAGCTTTTGTTTTAAACTTCAGAAGGTAGGTAATTACAAGAGGGAGTTCCTAAAATTCTGTCACTGCCTGCTTCCCCAGCTCAAAAGTTACCCTAAGACAACATTTTTTTCCCCACTGGGTGCTCCTTTTCATGAATATAATCATTTAGGGGCAAGGTGTGTGTGGGGGGTGACGTGGGAATGGGTTCAGGAAAATGGATTCCATAGTGTTAGAGAAACTCTATTCTTTTAGGAGGGGGCTAGAAGCAGAGGGCCAGAGTGAGGCCACTGACAGCATGCTCCCCTTGCGGAGGTGTTTTCCCTCCTCACGCACATTTGTGGAGGTACGTTGGTCCACAGGTTCCTATGCTGGGTCCCCACCCACGGGCATCAGTAAGCCCAGCCATGGGCAAGGCACCCTCCTTCAAATAAAAAGGCTACTGTGCAGAAGATCCCGAAAGATGGGAGCTTTCTGTAATAATCCCAAGAACAGAGACAAACAGTCCTCCAAGAAAAGCTCCAGAAACACCAAAGGCTGAGAACAGAATCGCTTCTGCTAAAAGCTCCAAGGAAAAAAGTTGTTCTCTAAAATGACCCAGCCTGGGATCCCACTCTACCGTCTGTCTCAGAATCATTTCACCAGCTTTGCATTTTCCTAGAGCGAAAGGCACAGAGGGTCTGCGCCAGATTTCCTGCTCTCCGTGCACGGGATGCTTAGAAGTGATTCCCCCTAGCTTTCAGAGGGGCCCCGGGCTGGGAGGTCCCCCATGGAGAGTCTTCAGCTGTTATGTAAGTGCACGTGTCTGGGACAGAGGAAGAGAACAACAGATTGTGTTTATCACCGTCCACAATCCTTGGGAAGAGCATCGCAAACAGCTGGGGCAGGAGCTTTGTCTGGTACAGCTGCACACGGCCAGCACTGCAAACACGGGGAACCCCATTACCACTCGAATTCCCAAGTTTTTGCCACAACAGGCTCACAACTCAAAGTGCAAGACCCAGAGCACCTTTCCATAAAGCAAAGGCTCTAACGACACCGTTTGTTGTTGCTGGTTGGTACTACTCTTCTAAGGAAGCAAGCATATATGTGCAGCCCTTGGAGCTCTCCAAGACGAGAAAAGAAGGAAGGTGATTTAAAATGCTCATCCCCAGCTCTGGAGCCTCTTTCTTCCTGCAGCAACTTCTCTTCCATTCACTGGCGTCTGTGAGGGCAGAGTGGGGGTTATTAAAATATCCTCATCGATGATAGAGCACAGAGCTTTCTGCTGACAGTCGTGTCTCACTGTCCTTAACATAATCTTCCACTAAGGAACCAGCAGACACGTAAGGAGGTTTGTTTATTCTTTGCCTTGATCTCTTCATTTGTTTTTTTTTCTGGTGTAACATATGTATTTTTATACACTTTGTGAATTTACCCATCCACACCACCCCCTCCCACCTGCCCAGCACCCGATGAATGTTACTTCCATGTAGCCATACAAGTGGTGATCAGTTAGTACCAATTTGATGATGAGTACATGTGGTGCTTGTTTTTCCATTCTTGTGATACCTCACTCCAAAGAATGGGCTATAGCTCTATCCAGGATAATATAAGAGGTATTATTAAAAGGTCACCATTGTTTTTCATGGCTGAGTAGTACTCCATGGTATACATATACCACAGTTTATTGATTCACTCATATGGGTCTCATGCCCACTCTGCTCTTTCCCCCCATGACTGCCACCTGGTCATGCTTCAGCTTCAGCCATGAGGATGATGACAAAGCTTCAGGCCAGTACTTCTCAAAGGGTTTGCAGCACCAGTCCATGAGAATATTGAGAATATTTAGTAACATTTATAGCAATTTAAGTAATTATGTCTGCTGTTTCTAATAATAAAATACTTTGTATTGTGTATTTCTTTGGGGGAGAGTTCCCTTTACTTTCTCAGAGATTTGGGGGTTTTTTTACAAAAAAAATTTTGTCTATAATGAATTGAAAATGTAAAAACTGGGCCCTTGGCCGGGCGCTGTGGCTCACGCCTGTAATCCTAGCTCTTGGGAGGCCGAGGCGGGCGGATTGCTCAAGGTCAGGAGTTCAAAACCAGCCTGAGCAAGAGCGAGACCCCGTCTCTACTATAAATAGAAAGAAATTAATTGGCCAACTGATATATATATAAAAAATTAGCCGGGCATGGTGGCGCATGCCTGTAGTCCCAGCTACCTGGGAGGCTGAGGCAGAAGGATCACTCGAGCCCAGGAGTTTGAGGTTGCTGTGAGCTAGGCTGACGCCACAGCACTCACTCTAGCCTGGACAACAAAGCGAGACTCTGTCTCAAAAAAAAAAAAAAAAAAAAAACTGGGCCCTTGACCACATACAGTTGCAGCAGCACTGCCCTAGGGAGTGGGTGGAGCAACTGGGAAGAAACCTGCATCCCTGAATCAGCGCACGGAGCAGAGCCGCCTGGCAGCCTGGATACTACACGAATGAGAAATAAACTTTGTTCTCTCTTTATGCCGGGGTATCATTGTGTCTCTCTATCCTAGAAGCTACACATCACCGTGATTGTCTGGGACCTGCACAAGGGTGTGCTATCTGCTGACTCTGGGCCAACACTTAAGTCCCAAGAGGAGCTAGAAGCAACATCTTTTTGGAGAGAGCACAAGCTCCAAATATGTGGGAAAAGCAAGCAAGTGGAGCATCACTTTATGAACCACAGAAAGGTATGCAGCATGAACCACAGAGGGTGCCTACCAAAGAGAACTAAAGTTCTCACCTTTTCAGCAGTGCACAGAGATGGAGGAATGCAGCCATTCCAAGAGCCTGCAAGTCCCTAGCAAAACCTGACCTTCCCTGGCCGCTTGTGGGAAGAGCAAGGCTTCCATCGGCTAGTACAGGCCCGCACTGCTTAACAGCTGGGACACCTTCTGAGAAATGCACCACCCAGCGACTCGGCCATTGTGTGAACATCACAGAGTGTCCTTAAACAAACCCGGATGGCAGAGCCTACGGCACACCGAGGCTCTATGGCGGAGCCTATTGCACCGAGGCTACACACCTGTGCCGCGTGTCACTGCGCTGAACGCTGCCGAAAACTGTGACACGATGGTAAGTATTGGTGTTTCTAAACATAGAAAAAGTACAGTAATACAGTGTCACAATCTTATGAGACCACCATCATAGACGCGGCCCATCATTGACTAAAACGTGGTTATGCAGCACATGACTATACAATAGAAGCTGCTCGAACAAATAGCTGCTCCAGAAAGGTGGCTTTGGGGGCTGCCTCCCTTTTACGAGGCTGGCTGAGGGTGGATAATTCTGACTCTTATTGGGCGGAGCCAGGCAACTCACTGGTTCAGTTCTGCCCATTCCTGATTTTAACTTCACATGACCTCGGTCTCCTCATCTGTACAATGGCCCACCTATATCAGGGCCCACCTATATCATGGGGGTTGTCAAGGTTTCAAGAAGTAATTCATGTAAAGAGCTAAAACTGGCCCTGGCTCATTGAAGGAGCTTGATAAATGTTCGCTATTGACCGATTTAGCTGCAAGCCAATTACCCTTTGTAATGGGATGATATTTCTGTGGTCACCAGATGGTCCCTACAGTGCTGTGGGCTATGGGCCCTAGACCCAAACCTGACTGGTGTAACTTGATTCTAACGCAGCAATTTCAGCGTAGGGACCAATGCTAGATGTCAAATGTAAGCCGTGATTAGGGGACTGAAGAGGGATATTGGATTATACCTGGTGATGGTCTGGTTCAGGCCTAGGTTCCAACCTCGCTGCCTTCAAGCATTCCTCCCGGTGAGCACGAGTGCACCAGCATAGGGCCTTCTAGTTTACAAAGCCATTTCACATCTATCACCTGACATCAGCTTCACAGTGGCCAGCGAAGTAGAAGGGATTATTGTATCTGTAGCACAGATGAGGCAAGGGGCTCAGGGGTTAAGTGGCTCACCCAAGGTCACGGGGTTAATGAGAGGAGAAGGTGGGGCTGAGAGCCGCATCTGGTTCCAAGTTCGTTTCTTTTCCTCAGATACTTTTCTGCCTCCCCAGGCTTGCTCACCTGGCCCAGAGCACACCTCCACGTCGCGGTCATTTACATAGCACGATGCGTAGCTGAGCAAAAGATTAATAATAGTGAGTCTCTGATTAGGT